TGGTTTTATTAGACTGATTTTCACATTCATACTTGATTTGACTCTTTACATCATTTCCTAAATTGTTGAATATAGTTCTGACCATACAATCGGGAGCACTTTTTGTACTGAATAATGATATATAAGGTAATTTTATGTTATTACCTGTTCTACTGTCTATTATATCTGTAGTATTAAGTATCTGCATTTGAATTGTTTTTATAAGTGTTTGTTTAATTTATAATTTATAGATTGATAGTATGTTAGTATTTTTAAATATATCTATTGAAGGSTATGTTGGCAGTAACGAGTAGGCTACTTTTATAATAATTTTCTGGGCAATATATACCGATTTTATGTCTGTTTTGCTGGCGCCTCCCCAGCATGTTATACCATATAATTAGAGTGATATTCATCATAACTAACACCTAATTAATAAATTACCATCTACTAATTTAAATAACTCATCTCGGCCCTCGGGGTCATCATTTACATGAGATATACCAAAGCATTTCCCCACTCTAAATCTGTATGGGCTTGTCAAATTATTTTTGTGCCAACCAATATTGGTTGGAATGGTAAGCAGCGAGCCAAAGCCCACAATCACAAAGCATTGTCATTTTTATGGAACTGTAAAAAAAATTATTTCAAAAGTGACACATTAAGAGCTATATAATTGGCATCATCATATTATCATTATCATTAATAAAGCACTTCTTGTAATCATTCTTGCTAGCAAATCTGTTAAATTATTTGTTTTTAAATACCTAACTATATTAACGAATTGAACAAATTATCAGGTTTAAGTAAAAGTATATGGAGTTCAAAATTATAATATTTGTATTAGATATTACTTTTACTTTTTTTATTTAGGTATCTTTTTTTCACTTTTTTAGTAAAWGAATTGTTTTTGTATATTTATTAAGAGTTGCTTTTGAAAATAGGTACTATTTTCTTAACCAAATATACATTAAAAATGTTTCCTCGCCCTAATAAATGTTGAAATTATATATAATAAGTTATTATGAAATTAATAAAAATAATAATAAAAGCTAGTTTAGAAAACTACAATATAACGAGTTATAACAGATCTCAAATTTATTTTGTTAATATAATTAAAATCCGTTCAAATTACATACAATTTAAACACCATGTTCATGAAACATCAGGCTATACATTTTTAATGCTAGAATGATAGAATTCACAATTTTTAGATTCAGTGCAAAGCCGARAATTTCTTGGGTTAACGTTGACTTAATTTGTTTTAGTTTTGTCTACTTTATAATTTTGTTTTAGCTATAGTGTGAGTGTATTTTTCAATCTAAAGCAAATTTATATAAACTATGTATATTATAAGTATATATTTGTATAAGACATGTAATGTTTTTAAGTTGTTATTGGTTTAAATAATTAATTAGAAGTTATCGACTTTACTATATAACAATAACTAGTTTCTGATACTAAAGATAAACACGTTTATCTGATGAAGTTAAAATGGTTCGAAATACCTAGAATTTTAGTTTTTACTGATGGTTATAATAATTTTATTTCCCTATTACCATGTTTTACCATAATGAAAATATCTCAAACATTTTTAGCTGCACCATATACAACGTAATACATGAAAATAAATCTCTCTTAGGAAATTAATCGGTAATTTTATTTTTGAATAACACACATTAAATGTAATTAACTRATTAACTTAATCAAGTACACATATTACAGTAGGTAATTAGTAAATAAATGTAAAATATTAGTTTGCTATTACAGTTGATCATTGCACCGATAAATCATAATTTTAAAACGTACAGACCTAAATCATAACTTACATYAACTCATCTGGGATATAATTAGCTTTCACCCTCCTTCTAATTACTAACAAACATAATTCAGTGTTAAATTCAGTTACCAACCTATATTTTACAATTCATCGCCRTATTTCTGTTTGGTTCCTCTTAAATATTAATGTATAAAACATAATTAAACATAAATTTATATTTTGGTGCTAACGGATGGTAAATTTTTATTTCAAAAAACTATGATAGTCAGATCGAATAATTACAATTAAAAAGATAAATGTTTACAGATCTATTTGTGTACCTATTGAGTAACAAGCATGATACTAACCTATCAAAAATATGATATTCTGTTACGGTTGATATTGCAGTTTAAATTATTCTAATGTTTTAATTGTAATATTAATTAAAAAAGAACACGGTGATAATATCATTCAATAAATTGCCAACTAGGTAATAATGAAATGCAGGTATGAATAGTTATCARATTACAAGTCTGATTTATATTTCCAATTACGTAAGTAACAAATGATAATTATTTGATTATACTATTATCTTAGAACCGTAAAAATCAAGTCTCAATATTGTAATGTGCTAGTGTTAMACATTCACTGCAGTGTATGTGTATAATTTATAGTATATAAGTAAATATAAGAAATTGCTAATAAAACACATTATGAAAAAATTTTAGCAATAGTTGGGAGTCGTTAATGATATATAAACTTAAAGATGACGATAAAAAAAAAAAATAAGAATGGTTGAAAATAAAACGATGTTATGGTATAACGATGAATGGTGTGAATAATAGGTTCGTGGTATACATAGTTTAAAAACCTTATAGATATTTTTATTCATTTTTTTTTCTCATAAAAAGTCTAAGAGWAAACAAGTGTAAACTTGTATGTACTTTCAACCATTAGCTATACAAATTAAAAATTAAATATTTTATAGTTATATTAAAGTTACTACATCTTTATACGTACTGTGTCTGTGTTTGTGTATGTGTGACTGCAATGWRTGTGTGTAACATAATATGTAGATTGTAGGTATGTTTTTTGCAACACTTTTCGCTGTAATCAATAATTAAATAACGAAAGGAAGAAGATTTTTATCTAAAAGGTTTACTCATTGCGAAATCTCTTCCAAATAAAACGTCACAGGTACAATGAATGTTTTAAAAACAAAAAAAAAAGCTGACTTGGCACATTATTTATTTTATTTTGAAAAATGATGATATTATAGTTTGCTTCATAGTTGCCTTTCCCTTTAGAGCAGCTATGTCTTTCAACCTTCTTAATTGCTACAATTGAGTGGTGTTGGATTCTTCTTGCCTCCCAAACCATTTAAACGCCAAATCCAATGTATCAAAAGCTTCAGAATAAGACGGCCCATTTTCACCTTCAGTCAAATCGTTAGTTTCATTTTCTTCTTCTTCAGTATCATCTTCTTCAAATAAGCTAAGAACAATTTCATCATCTGAAAGTATTTGATACCCAAGACCATTTTTATCCATAAGCAATCACTCATTTATATTGTCTTCATCACAATCCCCAAATACGTGAACTTGGCTTATATACAYTCTTGTATTTCAGCTATTTCAACATTTAATTCTACATTTTGGGTATCTTCAACTTGCTCCAGTAACTTATTTCATGACCTTTCCAAGTGCAATTTTGTAATTTCAACATGTATGAATAACGGCACGTGCTATTTTTTTTCACGTCCGATTAATTGGACGTCCGGATAATTGGCGTTCGGATAATCGCGGAGTTCTCCTGTACCTACTAAAGCGATTTTGTTCACAATAATAATATGTTTAACGATAACACATTTTGTTCGTATAAGTATATCAGCTACATTTAGTTTTTTTATCACCGTTATTCATCTCTTTAAGGGTGTGGTTGCCGGATTTTCCGAAGTTTTGCAATTCTATAAAATTTGAAAATTATATTTTATATTACAGTTTTTACCTAAATTATAATACCTTTCAAAAACCTATACTTAGAGAGAGCATAAATAGGGATAAATACATCTACAGAAATTACATTACAGGAAACTCTCAAACCTCGTTGATATTTTGGATTTTTTTTCCTCTAAAATTATATGATAAATCATTTCAGTTAGGATCAAATTCCGAATTGTWATTATACATAATATAATAGTGCTAGAAAAATACGTTTGGAAAATAAATAATGAGCAATAATTAAATGCATTTTTCAGTTTCTATAATTATAATTTTGAAAATCAAGCTTTGATCYCACTTGACAAATATTCTCTTATACAAAATATTAAAAAAAAATTAAACCAAATCCGGCCATTCTATGAGGCGTTCCCTGTAAGATATACTTTTGTACTAAATACGTACCGGCACTGACATCCGAGTACAAATGGTTTTTAATTTTACGCTTGATTTTATAAATAATAACTCCAAACAAATATTAATTCAGTTTCCCTCATTTAGTACAGCGTAAAATAGAAATATTATTTGCACTATTTCTCTTTTCAGGTTATAAGCAATGATAAACTTTATGTGAAATGGGATGACAGCCACGAGAGTACTTACGACTTACAATGGCTACTAGAGAGAAATTTTAATGAGGGTCAAGAACGCCACGAAAATCAGCAAGTCAAATGGACTGCTGAATCGTTTACAACTATATTCCGGTCATTTAAATATGATGATGTACTTAAAAGGTCGTATCTATTAATATCTATATTAGTTATTTACCTATCAAGTTCACATCATAAATTATTAAAACAAACTTTGTAATTTTAATTTAAACGTAAATTTAGAATATCTCAAATCAAAATTTATCTAATTAACTTAAATGTAAAATGGAATAAAAAAAATGGGCAAGTGAGTATCGCTCTGCTGTATAATAGAGATGGAGAGAAGGTCAATATAATTGATGTGTTAAATTAGAATTTAATGACTGGTATCATTGTATACGAAAAACGATTCTGAACGGGGATAATTTGTCAGTCTAGGATGAATTTTTCTTTTTAAATATGGACTGAAGTCAAAAATCAAAGACTTATTTCTACTCTAAAACATGGTGATGGACACAGAAAAAACATATATCATTATAAAATTCCTCACCTCGTTCGAAATCTAAAATGATTTTTATTTTAGGTTACTATAAAAGTGGACATTAACTAGTTAGTTTTAATTCATATTAACTTTTTAACTTAATTATTTAAATAGAATAAGTGAAACAACCCTTGTGAACTTTGACGCGCAATATTAGCAGACATACACCTAATTAATCCAACAAATTTTTTGGTCGATTTTTGGACAGTGTTGGATAACTTTTAAAGTTTGTTGGACTTTATTTTCAAAGTGAGACCAATTTCCAATTTTGCGCTGCCAAGTTCACGCCGGCATCACTTCGGTAGCGGTTTTGCAGTTCATAAGACATTAGTACCGTACATTAAAGAGTTTAATCCAGTATCTGAAAGGATATCAATATTAACCATCAACACTAGCCCAATTAATATTTGTTTAATAAATGGACATGCACCAACAGAAGTAAAATATGACAATGTGAAAGATGCTTTCTACGACTAACTGACTGAAACATATGAGAGCATCAATGGGAACGTGATACAGATTRTACTAGTTGACTTCAAYGCAAATTGCGGAATGGAACCACAGTACTTCCCTTGCATAGGGAAAGAAAGTTTACATAGTAACAGCAATGACAATGGTCAGCGATTGATAGCGTTTGCAACATCAAATGGGTTGACTGTTAGCAGTACTACGTTCCCACACAAAAGTATTCACAAAGCCACGTGGAGGTCACCGGATGGCGTAACCCTGAACCAAATTTATCACGTTCTCGTACAGACTAGATACCGTAGTACCATTTACGATGTAAGAAGCTATAGAGGCGCCGATCGTGACACGGATCACTACTTAGTGATTGCCAAACTTAGATCAAAGTTAAAAGGCCAATCGAAATTCAAGAAAGACAAAAGGATAAAAATTAATCTAGAGTTACTCGAAGATGAAATCGTGAGGAAAAAGTATGAGAACGAAGTCATGAAGAACCTTAAGGAGAATAATGAACAAATGGACGTAGATTTGGATTGAGAAATAGTGAGAAATGCTGTTAACAAAGCAGCGACCACCAGTATTGGTGAGCTAAAAAGGTCAAGAAATACTYKGTATAATGATGTTTGTAGAATGGCTGTAGAAAAACGCCGTAAAGCGAGAGATAACTTTACTAAAAAAAAACAATCAAATAACTAAAGAAGTTTTCATATGGGAACGTAAAATCTGCAAAAATACCCTTYAAAGGGAAAAAAGAAAATTTTTTAGCAACATACTTCAAACCGCAGAGAATGACCATGCACAAGGGAGAACTAGAAACTTTTTTAGAGCCATTAAACAGTATAAGCAATTCAACCCTATATGGAATGSAATCAGAGACCAAGACGGACAAATGCTAATGGAGCCAGAGTCAAGAGCTGAGAGATGGAAAGGATATTTTGAAAAATTATTAAATGGTAGGATGCCAGCGCAGCCTGTAAAACATATCGAATATGAAAGAGCGGAGCCATATGTAGAGGATGTTAGTCTAGAAGAAGTAAAAATTGCAATATTTGGCCTGAAAARTTGGAAAGCACCGGGTACCGATGATATTCCAGCAGAACTCTTAAAATATGGAGGCGAGGAGCTACATGTAGTAATCTACAGACTGTGCCAGCTAATATGGATGGAAGAACGAGTACCAGATAGCTGGAATGAGGCAATCATCATACCATTGCATAAAAAAGGAGACAAGACATAGTGTGACAATTATAGAGGGATATCGCTTTTGAACTCCGCGTACAAGGTCTTCTCTCGGATATTACTAAATCGTATTACCCCTTATTCGGAGGATTGCCTAGGTGAATACCAATGCGGCTTCCGGAAAGGCYGTTCAACCACAGAACAATTATACATAATAGGTCAAATAATTGAAAAGAGGTACAAATATCGGCAGAATATGTGGCAACTATTCATAGATTTTAAAAAGGCCTATGATAGTATCCACAAAGAGACAAAGAGAGTCTCTACAATATTATGTATGAGTTTGGTTTCCCAAAAAAGTTAATAGCACTAACTAAAATGTGTATGGAAGGCACGAAGTACAGAGTAAGAACACAAAATGTAACATCGGGAACCTTTACAGTGGAAACCGGACTAAAACAGGGGATGCTCTGTCACCAGTACTTTTCAACCTTGCCCTAGAGAAGGTAGTAAGAATACTACAGGGCAATGAAGGTGGGTTATTAATCGGTCAGAATAAGATATGACTCCTCGGTTTCGCTGACGATTTAGATATAATAGGTKATTYGCTTGAAGACACAGCTAACGCAGCCAGAGTGTTAGAAGAAGCAGCGAATAAAATAAGGCTTGAAATAAATACCGAGCAAACAAAGATAATGGAACTAATTGAGAGTGGGGAGGATTCCAGTAAGACGGAGAATTTATCCTACGAAAATTAAGCGATTTTCAATATATGGGAGCAACTTTAAGTACAAAGAATGATTGGTCAAAGGAAATAAGTATACGGATAAATAAAGCTCAAAAAACGTTCTACGCACTGACAAAATTCTTTACATCCAAAATTCTATCTAGGAAAACGATAGCAAGACTGTACGTGGCTATTCTAAAACCCACTCTCACGTATGGTTGCGAAGCTTGGACAACGACCAAACAAACAGAGAGAAACCTGAAGACTTTTGAGCACATAGTATAATAGTGGAAAATATGCGGACCTGTCATCGATGAAACAACGGGGAATTGGCGGAGGAGGTACAACAGAGAGCTGTACGATATGTTGGAACTAGCACCGGTAACAAGCTTTATTAAGAGCTAAATAATACAATGGTTTGGTCACATAGTGAGAAGAAGAGAAAACGAAGTAGTCAGAGTAGCATTGGAATGGAAACCACATGGGAAAAGACCTAGAGGTAGGCCTAGGAAAAGACGGATTGACGTGATAGAAGAAGATTTAAAAACACTTGGAGTTGAAGATTGGAGAGAGACAGCCAAAGACAGAGATAGGTGGCGAAGTGTAGTAATGGCGGCAAAAACTCTTAGAGAGTAGGAATGCCAGAAGAAGAAGAAGAAGAAGAGAAAGTTCACCGCCAGCAGCGCAACTTTTTGTTGGAACGTGTTTTTTGTGCTAAACACGTTCTCCTCGATTTGGTGGACACTGTTGGACAATTTTTGAAATTTGTTGGACATTATCACATCTGTGCTTATGCTTATGGTTAACTGTTTTTTTTTGGACAGGTTAGTTTAGAACAAATTTTAACAATAAAAATATTATATCATTAACTGATTGATCAAACGAAATATACCATTTTGAATATAAATTTATAAATACTATGTGTAGTAATCTAAACTTGTGACCCCTAGTTAAGGTGATCGCGACCCCCTAGTTGAAAAACGCTGCTCTAAATGTTTTGTCCAATTGTAATTTTTAAAACATTTACTAAGTTCTTATAAGTTAGTTAAAATAGATATTCGAAGTAGGTACCTATACATTAACTAACATACTTTTCAAAACAATATATACGGAAAAGACTATGTTATTGCACTGTTGAAGTAGTAGTGAGATTGTGACAATAATAACGAATGGTAATATTATTATTATGATTAATGATGATAGAAATAAAATAAAATATATTGGATATAACTTCATAATAGTTTTATCGCGTACAATAAAAATAAACATAACAGTTGAACGGAATGGGAAAAACAAATGGGAAATTTTTTTTGAAATCAATATATTTTCATTTGCCATTCTAATCTTACAATTATCATAAATTCATATTATTTAAACACTGTACAGTGTACCATTGCCCATTGAACCTCGGAATCAATTGGGTTCTAACAGTAATTTCCGGGTAATATTTACAAATATTCATAATACRAATAAATAAGACCTCGAAGTCAGTTATTGTCAGTTGTTTTCCGTTTTTAGATGGTAATTGTACGTAAAATTTGTGTTTTTGAATGATGTATAAAGAAAAATGAACAAATAATTATAATCGTCGCAATATGTACATTTTTATCCAAAGCAAAACATAGGTGATATCCTCCATTTTATGAAAAGAAATTCAACGTATTCAACGTTGCTAACAACAAAATGTTACGATGCCAGCGCTACTTGACAGCGCAACCAAACAATTTTATACGAGTATTTATTTTATACTTAAATATTTTTCTTTTATTTAATTAATTGTTATTTTTTTTTTTTTTTAATAAAGGCCTCGACAACATAGGTCATTCCTAGAAAAGAAACAAAAGTGGTTTTATAAACGTAATTTAACTAGGTCGCTAGGTGGTACTATAGTGAATACAGTGTTTTTTTTTTATACACATACAAGGTGGGTGAAAAAGTTAAAGTGAAGAGAATATTACAGTACAAGAAAGATAGATTGATTATAAAT